GACTGTTGAGACATCAAAATGGAATCAACAGACTGTTGAGACATCAAAATGGAATCAACAGACTGTTGAAACATCAAAATGGAATCAACAGACTGTTGAAACATCAAAATGGAATCAACAGACTGTTGAAACATCAAAATGACAGATTACTTCACACTTACTTAGTGTTGAATTTTATCCATTTTCATAGGAAGAATTAGGAAAGATAAAATGAGGTAAGGGGGCAATTCCAAAGGGGTCATGGGGAGAGCTGCTCAAATCATTAAGGGTTACAGGAAAGGTTAAGAACCTAATTAAAAAGGCACATGAAATGCTGAACTTCATATGTAGAGACAGAGAATATGAAATCAAAGGTGGTATGATATGCCTTTATGAAAGACTAGTGAAATTGCAAATGGAAGTTTTAAAAAGAATGAGAAGGCTTTGGAGTGTATGCAGAAAAGATTTGGTGGAATGGTTCCATGGCTCAAGGACACCAGTTCCCTAGATAGGCTAGAAAAGCTGGCATTCTTGGTGGGGGGTCAGGGAAGAGGTGTTCAGTACAGAGGGATTTGAACAATAGAGATTAAGAAACTTGCCATTGACTTAAGGATTGAGAAGTAGAGGATACAAATTTGAGATGATTGGCAAAAGTGCCAAACATGACATGAAGAAAAGAGGCAACATTTACAAAGCTATTAGAAAAGGAGAGGGGACCAGCTCAGTTGCTTTTGTGAACTGGCAGAGACTGTATGGGCTAATTTGCTATCTACTATACTGTAGCCATTCTATGATTCTACAGTTAACTGCATTATTAAAATCAACTTGATCAGTTCTCAGGCTTAAAGAAAAACAGCCAAATTGGCCTCGCTAACTTTTGTAATGCAAAATTAATTGTAATGTATGTTATTAATCATTGTTTCTCTGTACCTTCTCTCCCTCTGTTCTTTACCACCTTCTCCCTTTTCTTCTCCCCACCACTCCCAACCCCCAACTCATCTTAATCCCAGCCATATTTCTGTCAAGATTGTACTCCAGAAAGTACAGACTCAGTAGGGAAAGGGATGGACTCCAATGTTCCCTCTAAGCCAAGTAACAACCTGACATTTGCAAGCAGGCTATGCACAAGTTGTCGCCCAAAAGCCTTGTAATCAGAGTTAATTGGAGCCACGCACTGTAATAAATGGCTGTCATATTCTAAAATATTAGAGGGTGTGTTGGTAGCTTCCACTTTTGTTTCCCTTCCTTCCCTTTCCTAATCCATTTTCTGCCTTCCCCTTATCCATCAATGTTTATTATTTAAGCAAATTATAGTTGGTATTCATCCAATACTGTGTAAACGTATCTTCCAGAGAAGCATCATAAACCTGGCTGAAGAATTTTCTGGAAAAATCAACTGTAATTTTCATGTGACACAACAAAGTTTTGAAATATCTGGAAATATGCAACCTTATGTGACTGGTAAGCTCTAGTGCGTCTACCAGATGTGCTTATACAAGAATTGATGCAGGTCTTAAATTAATTAATGTGGTATATTTAGGGATGCAGCTCAGTTTTACTCTAGGGAATAAAGAAAAGCAGCTTACCCAAGAAAGTAACCTACATCAAATAAGGGAGAAAAGCTAAGAATGCTTGAAATCGACTTTTTATGAGAAAGACACAGCAAATAACATGCATTTTAAGGAGGATCCCAAACCTTGTGAAGACTGCAGAGGAGAATTATTTTTAATGCTGAAAGAGAAACCTTCCACAGATGGAATGATTGGTAAACCGAGGGCACAAATTTAAGGAAATTTGAAAAAGAACCAGTGAGGAAGATGAGGAAAAAATTACCTCAGTTATGATCAGGAATGAATTGCCTCAAAAAATGGTGAAATCCATTTCAATGGTAATCTACAAAAGGTAGTTAGTTAAGTAATTGTAAAAGATTTCCAGGACTGCATCCCATGATCTTGACCTGAAGTAGTATTCCAATTGGGAAGGGAGTTAGAAGGAATGAGTAAGAGTTCATTTTTAAGCGTCAGCTTTGTAACTTAGTGACAACATTCTTGTCTTAATTGGAAACTTGTCACTTTAAGCCTCCCTCAAGGACTGAGCGCAGTCTGAGTTGACCATCCATTGTATATCAAGGGATTGTGAAAAACTCCAATGAAATGTGTAACTGAGGCTCTATCTGCCCCTGTACATGGCTCAAAAGACCCTACAACACACTTATTAAAAAAGCTAGTGTGTTTTCCTTGCATCGTGCCCATTAGTTCTTAATCAACATCTTATCTCACAGTATACATCTCCTCCTTATTTGTGAGACCTGTGTTGTGTGCAAATTAGTTGCCATGATCCTTTATACTGCACTAGTTAATTCACATATTTGAAATTATTCTTAAACCGTGAAGTACTTTTAGATGTCGTGAGGTTGTGAGTCTTGCTATGTAAATGCAAGATTATAATTTTCTTTTTGTTGATAGCTGCCATTGTCTTCTATTTGATGGATTAGGAAACATGAGAGTTGTGCGTCAAACCATTAAATATAATTATGTTTTAGACTAGTAATTTTTAGTTGTACCTTAACAGTTTTTTCATTTCTATTTCAGCTGGAAGAATATCTGAAAGGACTCTAGCACATGTATCAAAGGATAACCTCTGTTATATATGTGGTCCACCTCCAATGATAGAGGCTGTTTCTCAACAGCTAGAAAATCATGGTGTTCCTAAAGAGAGTATCATTTTTGAAAAGTGGTGGTAGTGCAAGCTGAAAAAAGCAATTCCCTCAACATTATCATGTGTTCTGATAATCAGAGTTATAACGTTACTCCAGCATTGAATATCAATCCCTGGTTGTTCTTTGATTCCAGAACCACTAAAAATGCTGGAAGCAGTACTCAAGGTTGGAAATTGAGATCAATATAATTGGGTTTAATGCTATTCGTGCGGTGAATTGTCTGTGGGATTTTAAATCATGAATATTGCTGTTAAATTCCTTTTGTGAAATATATAAAATCTTAAAATATCTAACAGTAAAAGTTGACATCCTCTTTTTACTTTCTAACATGACAAAAATGCAAATTACATGATATTTCTGAATTGTGTTATACACTGAACCTTTAGCTGACGCTGCATTAGTTTTATGTCAATGCAAAATGAGTTATATTAACTCAAATGGAATTGAACAATCCAGAATTTATACCCCAATCCAACATACCCATATCCACTGAAGACCATTTCTAATAAATAGTGAGTAAGTGACGCATCAAGTAAAATCCGTGCAAAATCAGAGTGACCAGGAAAGTTGCTATGGACTCTGTTGACTGTTCAAGGGTGAGAAGTGCTTGACTTGTTACTTTAACATGCAAAATCAGCCATCAGAAAGCATAACATGGACCCTGTGGAACACCATCTGCCACCTGTTTGGATACGTGTTGCAGACAGTTGTTTGAAATGCATTGGCTATTTCACAGAATGTGGTCATTTTCAAATAAAATATGTTTGTATTAGAAATTATCCCAGTAAATTATTGCCAAACTTGCTAACTGTCCTGCCTGGGTGCGTGTAACCATGCTTCTACAAGAACAAGAATGAATCTGGACTGCAAGTTTATAAGAGGATTGGAAACTTGCATTAACCTAAAAATTGTTAAACAGATATATATATAACACCTTTTGAAAACAGTATTTTAAAGACAATTTCAATGCTTTGAAGTTGAGAAGAGAATCAATGCTGGCTGGAGTGATTTCTATTTGTAAAAGTTACTATATTATTTTACAAAGTTGACATTTCTAACTTTCTCATTAAGTACAGTGCAGTTAAATTTTACTTGTTATTTATTTGAAACATAATTTATTTTATTCAAATTTGCAAGTTTCAGTGTGGAAAGTGCGTAAGAGAGAGCACTTGACTGGTGATTGTACATTTGTCATCCATGTAATTCTTCACATACAAGGGGTTATTTAACAACTTGCAGCTTGTTTAGCAGCTGCATTGTTTACATTGTCCTGAAAAGTGCAAGACAAAAAGGTTTGACTAAAGAGATAACAAGGTGTAGAGCTGGATGAACACAGCAGGCCAAGCAGCATCAGAGGAGCAGGAAGGCTGATGTTTCAGGCCTAGACCTTTCTTCAGAAATGGGGGAGGGGAAGGGGGTTCTGAAATAAATAGGGAGAGAGGGGGACCCGGATAGAAGATGGATAGAGGAGACAGACAGGTCAAAGAGGCGAGGATGGAGCCAGTAAAGGTGAGTGCAGGTGGGGAGTTAGGGAGGAGATAGTTCAGTCCAGGGAGGACAGACAGGTCAAGGGGGCGGGATGAGGTTAGTAGGTAGGAGATGGGGGTGGAGCTTGAGGTGGGAGGAGGGGATAGGTGGGAGGAAGGACAGGTTAGGAAGGCGGGGACGAGCTGGACTGGTTTTGGGATGCGGTAGGGGGAGGGGAGATTTTGAAGCTTGTGAAGTCCACATTGATACCATTGGGCTGCAAGGTTCCCAAGCGGAATATGAGTTGCTGTTCCTGCAACCTGCAGTTCCTACTATCTCTGAAACAATGTTTGACTAAATGTCTTTTTCAGCAATAATCGAGCTCCATTTTGTTCATTGCAATACAACCTCCTTGCAATTGGACATCTTTGCAAACTGCATATCATCAGAAGCTAAGTGAAACTAGCAGTGTTTTACATAATTCTGTTAGTTGATCCTTTTAAATGAATCTGAAATTAATCAATAATGATTACCATAAAGTGATGTCTCTGCCCCTGTCCTTCTCCTTCCTAAATCAAAGATTGTTGGCCCAGGGCTACCACTTATTTGTTTCTATTTTCTAATTTGTTTTTAGAACAAAGGAGCAGAATATTTTGAATTTGACTTGCTTTTAAAATCAATTGCTACTGTCTTCCTTGACTACATCGTGCATATTTGTGCTTGATGCGTGAATTTGATAACTAAATCTAACAAACCTGAACCATTTTAACACTTCCATTCTCTCTCCCTTTTTCTTTTAAATTTATGGAGCATGACTACGTTGTTCCAATTTCCCAGTCTACCTTTCATTTGATTGTAGTTTTATTTTATCCAACTAGGTAAAATATAGGCAATAAAATGTGATGAATCTTTTAACTGCTTTTTGTGCAGTCTTATCAATCCTCAGCACCTAAGACAGGAAAGTTTTAACAACGTTTAACGGAACAAGTGTGGTTCCACATTTTGTCCATTTGTAGAATCCATACTGTGCAGATAGAGGCCATTTAACCCATTGAGACTACACTGTCCCTCTGAAGAGTATCTCACACAGACCCACTCCACACTGCTGTATCCCCATAACACGGTAGGGATTTTTACCCCGTAGCTAATCCGCCTAGGCTGCACATCCCTGGACACTATTGGGCAATTTAACATGACTAAACCATCTAACCTGGGCGTCATTGGACTGGGAGGAAACTGGAGCACCCAGGGGAAACCCATGCAGAAAGTGCGAATTCCACAGTAAATCTTTTTGAAATTAATTTGTACTTTTTTTTCCTAACTCTGTTATCACTGCATATTCTTTACTTGGGGCCTGATCCTGTCTTTTGGTTGGGTGAAGAATTGAAATTTTTCTTTTCACCATCAATCAAAAATCGAGATAAATGAATGGTTGACCTTTCTAGAAGCTACTTGAAGTTTCACTATTCTGGCTCTAATTTTTTTTTTTGATTAGCAATTCCACACAGTTACATTAATTTTATTTAGTTTTAATCTGTTAATTAAGGTTCTGAATTATTAGTGGTAATTTAGTATAATGGCTCTTGATCCATGCCAAATGATGCTTAACACAGTTGACCACCACAGCACAAAACATCTTGTATGATAGAAGACAACCATTGTTAATATAAAAGTAATAGCTAATTTTTACAACTCAGTTTTGTAGTTTATTCTAAATTGCGTCATAATTTGTGGCTATACCTACCATGACTCATGAATTTGAATTTGAAAAATCTTGTCATTTTGGTAACTAATACCTGTTTCAATATATGATACATCGCTTATTGGCCAGAAAGCCATAACCAATGTATATTTCATAAGTTTCTTTTGAATTTAGTTTACAGAATATAAAAACGCCAAAATTTTCTTTCACTTTTATAGGACTGTTAAAAGTGATGCATTTTGTCCAAAGTGAATGTCTCATGTATGCTGCAATAAATCATTTTGACTTTTATCTTAATCTCATTTTTCATTTGGTGCACACTTTATACGGTGAGTAGGAAGCTAATCTAAGATGGAAAAATATGTGGAATTGTTTTTTTTTTAGCGCAATTGTAGCACCATGATATTTTTACCTGGCACCTCAACTTGGGCATTCTTGAAATTCTTCCCTCCCACAAATTACATCAATCGCAGAGGGGTCAACTTTGTCATTAGAAAATACATAATGAAGTTCCTTTGGTTGTGTAATATACTTTTTAAAAATTTTAACAAGTGTATTATAACTGTTAGTGCAGAAGATAATTCAGCTTTCTTCTATGAACTGTGCATTTAATACCTTTTCTAGGTTTCAAGTGAAAATGTAACACGAGTAATTGTTAATATGTCAACTTCAATGGAAGGAATGCTGTTACAAAAACTGTATTTACTTGGCTATTTAGATAACTAATAAAGCTTTCCAATAAAGAGTGCATGAGAAACCTTTTAACAATTATTTTACAGAAGAAAATCCCTCAATATGTGTTTTCATATTGTAGTTTAAATACAAATACCATAGTTTGGAATTTAAAGATGTTAGTGGAGAAAGCAATTGTGCACATTTTGTTATCCTTCCACTTGTGTTAGATTGATTGCTCCTTATGTAGACCAGCTAAGCTTCTGTATTTTTCTTCCAAATTTTGAGACCGTCTCACAATAGTTAAGTCACTATATTGCATATTCATTAATTAGGAAACAGGTTTGCTATTGTGATGTAACTAATGAATTTTCATAATTTTATAAACATCCAAAGTTAAACTTTTACCCCATGTTCCCTTTAACAAAAATCAATATAATGTCAAAGATACATGTATGCAAGAACAAAATAACTCTATCCAGAATTTGTAAAGCCTTTTCATTCAAGTATGAAGATCTTCATTTGTAGACGTGGAATGAGAATTCATAATAAGTAGCAATTAGTACTCTCCCCAATATGCTTTAAATCCAATAAGTCGACAATTTTACTACAGTAATGTATTTACCAAACTCTACATCATGACTGTGTAAAACTAAAATATGAATATAGAGACATTGCATGTTGCATTAGTATCTTCATGTAAACTTACCAATTACGCACAGGACCAGGGAACAGAAGTTTGAACATAATACTTTGGAGCATATTTTCCACTGGCCAATCAATATTATAGTGTAGATCAGAGATGTGTATGAGTTCCCTACAGAATCCTCCTCATGATACATAGAAACAGGAGTAAGACATTTAGCCCCTTGAACCTGCTCCACTATTCAATTAGATCACAGCTTCTCTGTGGCCTAAGTCCATATACCTACCATTGGCTCATATCCCTTAACGCCTTAACAAAAAATTGTCTTGGATTTAAAATTAACAACTGATACAGCCTCCACTGCCACTTCTGAAAGAATTCCAAACATCGACTACCCTTTTGTGTAGAAGTACTTCCTAACATCTCTCCTGAATGGTCTGGTCTGGTCCAATTGCTCAGACTATGCTGTGTAATTCTAGAATCTTCAACCAGCGGGAATTGTTCATCTTTATCTACGCTCTCTTTTGTTAACATCTTGAATACTTTAATTAGATCATCCCATAACCTTCTAAATTCTAGAGAAAACTGGCCTAATTTATATAATCTCTCTTCATAACTTAACCCTTGAAGTCCAGGTATCATTCTTATAAACCTACATTGTACTCCATCTAAGGCCAATATATCCTTCCTAAGGTGTGGTGTTCAGATCTGCTCACAGTACCCCAAGTGGGGTCTAACCAAGATTTTGTACAACTGTAGCACAACTTCTGCATCCTTGTTCTCCATCCTCTAGATATAATGAACAGGATTTCAT